AGGACACCCGCTTAAAAACATCAGGGAAGCTGAAGGGCTGTATGTGCTCTTTATGCATCCTGATAATAGCTGTGACACCCTGTTTAAAACAAAAACAAAAAAGAAGATTTACAAGCCAGTATTAGGTGAGAGACATCTCTAAGCAGTATTTTCTTGCAGAGCAAAGCTTACCTTATACCACGTGAATGGGAAAAAAATCAAAGGCTTTGCTGCTGAAAACTGAACACTCTAGTAGAACATCTTTGGCACAATTTCCTTGAATTTCACGACGTAGTTGGATTGTGGTTGGGAGATGCATCAACAGCAGCTAGGAAAATAAAACCAGAGACTGTCAGAGAACAAAATAATGTAACACTGCTGAACAGAAGCATTTTAATTGGGATAATAAGAACATCTCACCGTGATAAACAGTATCCCTTAGGACATGTTTTACACCTGATTTGCCTCTTGTCTTTGCAATGAAAGTGTGATATTTTTCTCTATTTACTTGAAACTTAGTCACAGTTTCCTGTGAAAACAGGAAACGAGATTTGGCAAGTAAATCTATGGATAACATAACATATGCCACCAGGTGGTGCCTGACAAGACTGAAATCTTTGTATGTTGTCACAGAAATATTTCACAGGGACCCTTTATGAAAAAATACATCATGGAATCAGTGCTTTTGAGAAGAGGAAAGTTAAGTGATTATTTTTAATTAATTCTTCAAAATTTTATGCCAAAGATGTTTTGCTAAACAGCCAATGTGAAACTTTAAATATTGTGATTAAAAAACACTGTGTTTAAACTCTGAGAGGCAGAAAGATATAAACCAGTATAGACATTACAGTAGATAAACTCTTCTCCTTGCTGGAGCTGTTCTCTTGCCTTGGTGGGACCGTTGTGGGTTCACTTACAGCTTCCTACTCTGCCACATGCAGACGCCTCTTTGACCAAAGCACTTACTTCCTGACTTCCTACCAATCTGCATGAAAGTGTTTGCATGTAAGTTGAGCAGATAAGGGTAGCTCTGATGTACGAAGCTCTTTGAGTGGTCAAGTATTTAAGGAATTATTGGTGTAATGAGTACAAAGACTTGCTTTAATTTCATTGTCCAATATAAAATTATACAATATTTTAAAAGCCAAATTTTAAGACTATTATCATTGCTATGAAAGATAAATATACAGATTAAAATTCAGAATTCCTCCTAGGATTGGAGCTGTAAGTCATGAAGAAATGGACACTGTTCATCTTAAAAAAAAAAAAGTTTAAAAAAAAAGAATAAATCAAGCAGCTTTAAACATAAAAACATGTTTTTACAGTGCTGGTGAATCGAAGAGAAACACCAAAGTTAATTGCAAAGAAGTAAATAACAAATATAAAATTTGTCTTCAGAAGTATTTCTCTATGGGATTTCTTCTCTTAGATCCATAATCTATTAATTTGTCACCTCATTTATACACACACCAGACTTACTGGACACAAACCATTTAGATTTTTACCTTTAGGTTGAGGCTACAGAGAGACACTTTCTTCCTGCAAGTTTATAAGAAATATAAACACCTTGAATGCTGAGTAAGTCAAATAATTTTTTTTTTACTTTAAAATCAAAAAATGCTTCACAATAACAAAGTACAAAAAAAAAAAAAACATAAATAAAAAATTTTGCAGTCTAATTTAATGCCAGATTGTTCAAAAATGTCTTAAAGTGCTTTCTTAAAAGAGTCATCTAAGTTCATGCAGGGATAGCAGGGGGGATTTTATACCCTTGAGGCCACAACCTGGAAAGCCTGATGTCCAGGAGTTTTAGAAGAAGTCCCTGATATCACCTATTACCTCTGGTCAGATGGGGGGGGAATAAATTCTTCATTCATTTCTGGAAATATTTCCAAGCTTGTGTTTCAAGTTTCCTAGACATAAGAACCAAAATTTTAAAGCGTATCCTTTACACTTTAAAATTTAGTGTAAAGGATACGCTAAATTTATAATAAATTGATATATCCAGTGGAGGGATATTGTTCTCTCATCTGTTGGATCTCATTGAGAATGTTTCTTACACATTCTGGACTAAAAGTCCACATTCTGGACTAAAAGTCCAGAATGTGTGGATGTCTAAAAGCCATCTAAATCTGATTTGTTAAGACAAGTCCAGATGAGACAAGATGAAAGCATATGTTACGTTTCAAATTCAGTTTTCGACTATTATAATCTCTACTTTAAAATATATTTTATGTAAAACATTTTCAAAATAGTTTTCTTTATAATTTAGGGATGATGAGCTGTCAAAAATGACACTAAGGTTTTGCATACTTGTTTGTAGAGATGATTGGGTGCAAAGATGCTGCCTGATAACAGGAATTTTCTCATCAAACAGTAAAAAAGAAAAAGTTGAATAATAGGATGCAGTAGTTTCCAAGCTCAATCTCTCTGAGATTAACTGTCTTTGGCTGAAACACTTCATCCCCAAAGGCCTTTAATAGTGGTCAGAGGGCCTGGTGGCGCCTGTCTTTGCACAGCTCTAGTTACCACTATGCATTAGTAACAGTAGTGTGTAGTGTTAACTTTGACTCTGCATGCTAGTTTCAGACAAATTTAATCTTGATAATTGTTATTTTAACTAAATTTAGTTTGGACCAATATAGAAACTTTAAAAGTGTTAAATTTGATTCCTTCAGATTTGAAATAACATTTGCAACGTTAAGGGGCTCTATTTTAATTGCATTTCGTGTTAAATAGTTTTTTTTTATGGTGAACAGTGGCAGAGTTTGGATAATTTATTTATCTCCATACATTTCAATCTGAAAAACTCACACAAAGAGAAAAGAAAATTAGGAGAAATGTATTTATACAATTACTTTTCTTTGGCGATCAGACCTCGGCAGGAAACATAGCGCTTAATTTTGATAGACATGCATGAACAGGAGTAAAGAATAGGGCTGTTCCCCCCCCAAGGCCTGAAACTGGTGGTGGAGTGGAGATAGATGAAGCTGGTCAGTCTGTAGACTTAATCGGGTCTTTGGTCTTCAAGAGAGGTAAAACAATAAGGATTCCTGTGGCTTATTGAAGGGGTGGGATTGTGTAAGGCAACATATTTTGTATCGCTGTACTCAACAGCAGCAATAGTGAACGATGAAGTAAAATTGACTTTGCTGAAAGAAAATAATAAACCTTACAAAAACATTGCAGTTTACTCCCTGGAATTAGCACCCATCTAAACGTCACTGGAAGTTTTTAGCAAAGCTGTGGAGCCCAATTTATAGAAACTTTAATGATAGATATTTATAACTTAATCAAGGGGGTGGTGGTCAGTTTAATTCCACCCAAAAGTGCTTCAACTGTTAGGATTCTGGGAGTGTTGTTGTGGTTCTTCCCGCTCTTTACACCAGAGGGCTTCTAACCAGGCACACCTGAAGCTAGTTTACAGTCATCATGGAGGAGCATTTAAGGAAGAGGCTGCCAGTTCCTCACTGCCTGATTGTTGCTTTAAGCGGTAATTCAAGCCTCTGAGCCCCAGCTTGTTTTTTTTGCTGTGTTTTCTGCACTTTGTGAGCTCTGGGTTATTGCCATAAAATGTTCCTGTTCCAAGCATTGCCAGTCATCTGTGTCCATAACCTCTCAGAAAATACCCATTCTGTGGATCAAGTTCCCAACTGGCAGCCTTGGTTCTCTGACCATAGTTCCGCTCCTGACTGAATCCTTTCCCCTTTCCACCGTGCTTGTTTCAGACTTACTGTTCCAGCAATGTATTTTTGATTCCCATGTGAATCAGACATACAGATACACAACTATCCTCACTCAAGCATGTATCTTCAGGTACATGCTTTAAGGTCTTCAGGTCAAACCCTGCTTATGGTTCCTCGGACCCGTTTTAAAACCCGAAGAGACCGGTCCTTTAAAGCGGTGGCACCCCGTCTCTGGAATGAACTCCCCCTGTCCCTGCGCTCTCTGGACTCAGTGGATATCTTTAAAAAGCAGCTAAAAACACACATGTTTTCACTAGCCTTCCAAAGCACATAGCTAATTGTTTTATTCACTTACTTAATTTAGCCTTTATTGCATTTTATCTGTTTTTACTTGTGTTGTTTTTATGTTATCATGTGAAGCACTTTGTGACTTCGTCTGTGAAAAGTGCTATACAAAGAAAGTTTACTTACTTACTTACTATCCTCCACATACACGTCAGATGCATCTAGGCCCAGAGAAAATGCAAGATCCCGTGCATGACACTTTTTATGAGTAGGGGTCCATATGTTGTGTGAAATTAAAAGATTCCACAGTGGCCAAGATATTAAAACATCAATGTGAAGATGACAATATTGAAGTTTCTTTACAATTTCCAACAATATCTTTCAGCTTTGAGTTCCACTGGTATAATCTTATCAATTCCCAATATTCAACAAATGCTTATTTCTTCTTGCTCCGAATGTCTTATTTAAACATCCCTTTTTATTAATTCATTTTTATTCATTTATTGTACTATGTGTATACACGGTCCCTGTACGTACACATACATAAAAAAATTTTAATGTTGTGAAACAAATGTGGAATTTTCCACAATCTGGGCCAATAAAGCTGATTTGAATGTGATTCTAAAATATGTTTTGATTGTTGACCTGTATATCTGGTCAGGAGGCAGCACCATTAGCTCAGTTCCTGTCTTATAGGCACACATACTGCTATAATCTGTTTCTGAACATCTTGCTTTAGTGTTTGAAAACAAAATAGAAGAAACGTTGCATTTAGCTTCGGCTGTTGCTAGTTAACACTTCAATTAGCAAATCCCACTGGTTTTCTGACTTACAACAATAAGGGACTCTTTTTTTTTCTCTCAGAATTTCCATATTGCAAGTGGAGATACAAAAATAACACACCCTGAAATCAGGATGAAGTGGACAATTTGGAGATTGAGCATCACTGGGTTCCCATCCATAGAAAATATGATGTAGTACTTCTTGCAGCTCTTATCTGATTAAAACAGGTCACAAAATAGTTCTGCACTTCTGTTTGTTATCACATTTTTTTTAGTGTTTGAATGATTAAAGGAATTGTGGAGGATTTTTGTGATTTTCCCACTTTTAAAAAAAGATTGCCCATGCACAACCCTGTACCCGCTCTCGAGAGGGATTAGGCTAAGTAGCTTGTATAATTAAAGACATGCGAGAGTTTAAAAGTTGCAGTTCTCATAGCTCATACAAGCTTATTGTGCCTGAACCACCGCCCTAACCCCTAAATCCCTCAATCACTACATAGAGTCGGACTATATAGTGGACTTTATAGTGAACTCAGTTAACTTACCGTTCCGACAGATGATCACTACTTTTTGCCACGCTGGTCACGTAACTCCTCCTCCACCACACGGTGCTCGCGCCATCTTTGTTATTAGTCACTGTTGTCGGTCTGCGACAGCCTATGCCGACATAGTCGACCTCACAAATCATTCTGGGATATATCTGCCTCCTCTGAGGCCTTTCTTTTCTTCTCATGAACTTCA